AGCCTTGGCATTTTCATAAAATACAAAAACAAAACCAGCAGCACTTGTGGAGTAGAGAAATTAAAGAATCTTGAAGCTGGAAAAAAATGTATTTCTTTTAAAAATGTATTTTGCAAACATGTTTCAGAACACAAACCTTCATCAGAGCTGAACTCTTGGAAATACAAACAAAAACAAGATTTAAATTTGCAACCTACCAATTAGAGCGTTAAAAAAATCAGATGGCATGATATCCATTAATCACATGACACCCTGAAAAAGAGGCCACCAAACCAAAATTTGTAAGCCCTATTTTATACAAAGCAAAATAATAATTCAAAAATGTGTGTGTGTGTGTATATATATATATATATATATATAATTTTTTCATATACATTCATTTCTATAAACACAACAGATATTTTTAAACATATAAATGTTTATTAGCAGTAATTACAGAAGTTTTACAACCAAATCTTCATTATCCCAGTAGGAAATACACTTTTCAAATAATGTTTCTTTTTCGATTTTGGTCGATATCAGCTCCTCTTACCGGGAATTTTATGTGATAAATGCCAATAAACAAAAAAGAGGACATAGTTTAATTAAATTTAAAATGTTTCAGTACTGAATTGGTTGCATCACCTCTTTTAACTGCATTACGTTCAATAATATGATCCATTTGACAACAAGAGGTTTCCCCAACATAAACTTTTTTCATAAGGGCATTGTATCAAATATATAACAATTTTAGCATTACATGTAATGAAACCTTTAATAATTTATAAACTGAATGTTTATAACATTTACATTTTTGTGTCATCTATCTCTAATAACATCACATAAACGGATTAGATTAGTATGGATGGTGAACAGAATTATTGTGATTGTGAAGATCGACTGGAGACGTTTTGTTGTGCTTTGTCCCTTTAAATCTTGAGGCAGTCACTGCAGAGCTGCTGGAAAGTTCGATCAGCCCAATTCTGCTTGGAGCCATTGAGCGCCTCGGCTTTCAGAGGGCTTTTGTTAAAATGCGTTTAAGTGAATCTGTGTGTGAAGGTGTCAAACGGGCTCCATTACGGATCAAACAGTCAGTGAACCCTGAAACGTCCTGTAAAGAAAACCGATGCTGAAATGAGGAGGACGTGCGAGCAGCGTTGAGAGACAGGGATGTGGGAGGGAATGATCTGTGATATTTTTAAAAGGGTGGAACAAGTGAAAAAAGTGGCTGTGTTGATCTGAAATAGAAGGAAAAGAGAGGTGTATGAGTGTCCTGTTGTCTGAAACGGGAAGTTTGCTCCCTTGTGCCCTCCTGCTGATGAATTCCTGTTTGGTGACCCTGGGGTCGAATCTGAAAGTCCCTCTGCTCATCTCTCCTGTCTTCTACTTCCTTCCTCCTAGATTTGCTTTAACCAGGACTCTGTCTGGACATTAAAGTCACATATAGATGCACTTTAACCTGTCAATAACAGTGGGTTAGTTAGTCATATGACATGCTCTCTTCCTTTGCATCCTGTGTCCTAATCTGTGGGTCAGTGTGGCTTGTGTTTCCTTTGTTCAAGCTGAAGTCCCACCTTCCTGTGTTTCTGATTTTCCAAAGCACAGATCTGAGACTGAATTTCTCAGTAAACAGCAATTTACCCATTATCTGTGAGCGTTAACATCCATCTCTAACCAGCTCCTGATATCATTATTTGCTGGTTAATCACATTCAAGTGTGGACTTCGGCACATTGTGCTTATTTCACACCCTGGACATGTTATCCTCATGGTCGTTTTTGTTTCGACACCTCTGTTGGGACATTTGTTCTTTAAATGTAGACCTCAAAATGTCAGGTCGTGGCTACTATGAACATGCTTTTTAAGTAATTGGCATACAGATTATTGTGATTTAATAATTTAATTGTCTTTTTAGTTAAAGGAATAGTTTACCCAAAAAATGAAAATGAAAATTTCTTTACCCTCAGGCCATCCAAAATGTAAATGAGAAATTAAGCCTTGCATTACTTGCTCAGCAATGGATCCTCTGCAGTGAATGGGTGCCGTCAGAATGAGAATGTCTTTTGAAATGAAAAGCTGCATGTTTGTAAGAAACAATTTATTTTTGTTTATACAATAAATTTAAACCATTGCTTCTGGCCAAAATATTAAAACTCTTGAGAACCACTGGTAGACCATTATTCAGTGAACATCAGGCACATTGTGATGTTTTCACTTTTGCTCTGTGGCACATTGAATAATTTAAAAGATGTTGTAAAACTGTTGTCAACGGCCTATAAAGCACATTTCATTAGTCAACAGAGAGCTTTTTAGTTCATTTGTTTTGTGCAACAATTAAAATTTAGCATCAAAATGACTGGTTCTATATAAATGCACTCCAGCATTGGTTGTATTTCTATAGCTTGAACAATTGAAGTTAGTTGATTATGCAGATATATATAATAGATTACAAACCATAGATGTGTCTGACTGGCATAATTGCAATGAGTAATCAGATTTTTTTGTCTTTAGATGTAGTATTTACTTTGGATGCATATCTTGGATGCAAGATAAATTATTGCTGTAGCTGTACAAAAGCCATACAGCTGTGTGTATTTGTACATTGTGTCTAACTCTCGGGACGCAGTATATAATGCATCATTCTTATGTTGCCGGCGCCGCACACAATGTGTTGATTATTGTCCTATTACTGGGATGCTGTATATGTGGCATTTCATTTAGTTGTTGACACAATGCTGTACATTTCACAGGCTCCCTTATTGTCTGTCTCCTTGTGCCATTGTGACTTTGCACACCTAGGCCTGTGTGTGTGTGTGTGTGTGTGTGTGTGTGTTCTTGAACTTTTGTACTGGCTCTTTCTGTATCTCAATTTCAATTTTCAATTTTTAAAATGGCCATGTTTGTATTTAAATACAATATTGTCAAAGTATTATACACAATACAAGTAATGACAAGAAAAATACATTTACAACATAAATAACAAAAAAAGTATTAAATAAGGTGCTAAGTAATGAATATAAATAAGATTGTGTGTGTGTGTGTGTGTGTGTCTTTATGAGCTGATCAAAGATGTGGTGACACATTACGTTTTACAGCTACTTAGAAGTACAACTACCTTAGATAGAAACCCACAAATCAACAGATAGCAGTCCTGTTTAACATCTGTGTGTCAGTGTTGTGATGTGCGTGCTTGTGTACATTGGCGTGCGATTGATGGTGTCTCGCAGGTTAAGTCAGTCCCATAGTGACGACCCTTTGTTTATTTTAGTGTCTTTTCTCAGTACCCGCTGTGACCCTCTCGGGGTCCACTGCATTGCCCACCATGCCTCGATTTTCCATTCCCAGATTCCTGCTCAATGCTTTTCCCATACAGGCAGTAGAATGTTCCCGCGTCAGTCCATTCTCGGTTCCATGCACAAATATAAGCACTCCTAAATCTAAATGGACATTTTCAACATCATAACAGCAGTTTTTCAAACACTGTCATTGTAAATGCACAACAGATCTGACCGACTGAGCTCGTTGCAGTGCATTCTGGGATTTCCTTCTCCACAAGTGCATCTTATAAGGCAGCATAACGTTGCTGGGTTATGAATAGTCTCACGCTGTGAACAAGTCGCTTAGTTTTCCTTTTCCCATACAGGCAGTAGAATGTTCCCGCGTCAGTCCATTCTCGGTTCCATGCACAAATATAAGCACTCCTAAATCTAAACGGACATTTTCAACATCATAACAGCAGTTTTTCAAACACTGTCATTGTAAATGCACAACAGATCTGACCGACTGAGCTCATTGCAGTGCATTCTGGGATTTCCTTCTCCACAAGTGCATCTTATAAGGCAGCATAACGTTGCTGGGTTATGCATAGTCTCACGCTGTGAACAAGTCGCTTAGTTTTCTCACAGTTTCCTTTGAGCTCTGGGTTTGTAGTGGGAAGATGCTGTTTCTATGTAAAGACTGTTTGAGGCCTCTGGCACTCTGTGTTTGTTTGTTGTTGTGTTTTGTGGTGTGATAAGTTATAATCATCCTCGCTCAGATGTGAGTGATTATTCTCCTTCCTTTAAACACATGCAGCTTTGTCTCCAGTCTCATTTAAGCCCGTTTCAGTCCTCATGTGTCATCCCGTCATGCCTCTTCATATTGTGATTAGTGTCAGGCTTTGAATGAGCGCACCCCGCCTTACCCACAAGACCAGGTGTCTGTCATATCATTTGGGGTTTTTCTAATGCTCTCTCTCTGTTGATGTAGTCTGATATGTGTCTTTGAAAGGACTCCGATTTTTACTCACGTAAGGTTTGTGTCATTTCCTGTGAGTGAAAACAAATTATATAGACACTTGTCTTTTTTTTTTTATATATAGCATTGCCCTCTATGGTTGCAGGTACCAACACAAAAACAAATTGTGACTTTCCTAAAGTGGTTGTGTCAGATTCATTCTTAACTCATGAGTTATTGATCTGAATCGTTCAAATGACTCACTCAGTGAACTTCAGGTTATTCCTTTTTAAATGAGAAATTAGAATAATTAGTAAATAGGCTGGAAGAAGATATGGTTTAAAAATAAAATTAAATAATGAAAATTAATTAATCAATAATTGAATAAATAATAAATATAATATTAATTATATTAATAAAAATAAATATAATATTAATTTTTAAAAATATATATTAAAAAGTACAATAATGAAAATGAATAAATTATATATATATATATATATATAGTAGCAAAACACACACACAAACACACACACACCAACATGGCTGCTGTTATTATTTATTTTATTTTTTTTCAGAGGGAAATATATCACATTTCCCAGCTGGATCTGTTGATCTGGATCTCTCTTTTCTGTTGGTTGTGGTTTTTCTGTCTAGTATTGAATAGTCCTGGTTAATCAACATCAGATTGGATTCTTGGATCCCTCCCTCACCCAAAGCACCTTGTTTACAAATGTACAAATATCATTAGTAATGATGTCTGATGAACAGATCAGTCTAATAAGTGTTCTCTCTCTGTCTCTGTAGCCTCATGAGTTTGACGAGTGCCGGTTGGACATCAGTGTCAATGATAGCGTGTGGTATCTACGCGCTCAGGACCCAGAACATCGCAACCAATGGATCGATTCCATTGAGCAACACAGGGTGAGTGTCTGTCTTTACCCAGCATGCTCTACTCTCATGCAGCCAGACTATTGACTATTAGTATTAAGTCTGTTTTCTGACTGAGAACCAGTGACTGTTTTTTTGTTAGTTGTTTTTGTGTGATTTGGGTAGATTCATCTGAAATGGGACATAACAATCAGACATCGCTGTCTTGTTTACCCTGTTACTAAAATAGTAAACTCAAGAGTGGGTTAGTTAACGTGTTGAGATGAGAAAACTGACTGTGTGTGAGATTATGAATGTGATTCAGTCTATTTACATCATCTGAGGAGCAGAGCACTGAAGTGACACACACACACACACACACAGGAAGTCAGTTCATGTCACAAACACACAATCCTATGTTAACGCAAATAAAAACAATGAATGGTGATCATACGTGAAACCTCATATAGCAGTTGACATGTACAGTTCAGTTCAGTACTAACTGAGTGAACGCACCACTCGCATAGCTGTAGTAAAATACTGTAGAGAGAAAGGATGTGGGCAGGTACAGACAGCGCAGTGGGTGGGGGTGAGGACCGAAAACTGCTGTGGTGGAAAACAATCAAAGGCTGATGAGGGGAAACGGTGAGAAAGGCGTCATGATATGGGCTACTGAGTGACAAAAGGTCTTATTGAAGGATTCTATACTATATATATCACTGTTTTAGATCGACTAACTGTAATACTGTATAAGATTTCCACTCAAACGGAAAGCATAAATCTAGACCATGCACTGCTGGTTTCAGAGGAACATGCAAAACTGGCATTTATATAAGATTAAATAAATGTTTAATAAATAAATTAGTATTTAAAAATAAATTATATGAATTTATATATATTATAAATTTTTTTTCATTAATTTACAAATAAAATAATTCTAAACTAATGAATATTTATGTATTATATACAAATAACTAATCATATTTAATAAACAAATGTAATGAATACAATTTTTTTT